ATGGTGGCTTTTGTTTTACAGTGGTATATACAAGTGGGGTAGGGAGGGGGAGGGTCTAGCTAGACAACATCAACAGTGTTCTGTTGTAGTCATACCATCTACTTAACTGTCCTTTTCATTGATTTAAAGTCTGCAAAAGCTACTGCTGACCGAAAGTCTGCATCCAAACCTATTGGGTTTGAAGGAGAGCTTCGTGGCCAGTCCTCTGATCTTCCAGAAAGACTCCATTCCCAGGAGGTGGATTTGGGGTCCTCCCAGGGAGACTGCCTGATGGCTGGCAACGATTCTGAGGAGGCCCTCACTGCACTGATGTCCAGGAAGACTGCCATCTCACTGTTTGAAGGGAAAGCCCTGGGCCTGGATAAAGCCATCCTTCACAGCATAGACTGCTGTTGTAAGCACATCTGGAGACACTGGGAGATAGCAATTAAATGAGCTAGCAATTAGATGAATTGGTTTAGCCTAGGGTATAGTTGTGCAGTGTAGCATGTTTGTTGAAAAACTACTAAACAGCTACTCTGCGCCTGCATTGGCAGGTGGTGGGAATACAGTAATGACTTAGAATTGGTTCCTGGCCTCATTGAGCATATAGCCTAGTGGAGGAGACCACAATAAGGCTAATTATTACACAAATGTGAAATTACAACTAAGGAAGATGCAACAAAGTTGAGCTAAAGGGTACTGACTGAGAGCTTCTGACTGAGGGAGTTAGTAAGGGATCTTCACTTCCTGGGGGAGACATGGAGGGAAGGAGGCAGGGAAGGCTTCCTTAAGGACAAGCTCCTTGAGAGAGACCTGTGCGTGAGGGGAGTTAGCGGTCACAGGTGGGGTGGTGTTCCAGACAGGAGGAAGCCTATGAAGGCCAGTGTGTCTTGGAAGCAGGGTGTGGGGATAAGGCTAGAGAAGTGGGTGAGGACCACCCCACAACTCCACACTGGATTTTGTGGGCCCCCTTAAAGGTTTTGGTCTTAATCCTGTGAGTAACAGGGTGTGGAGTGTGCAGCGTGCTCGCATTTGCGTTTTGCCAGGTTCCTCTGGCCGCAGTGTTGAGGGTGGCTGGAGGGAGGTCTTTGAGAAGGCTATTGCAGTCGACCAAGCAAGAGATGATGATGGCTTAGTCTAGAGTTGGGGGTGTGGAGAAAAGATGTGGAAGGAATATCACTGTCTTTTCAGCATCTGATGACACCAAAAAGAAGATGTATAGCTCCATCCTAGTGGTGGGAGGTGGTTTGATGTTTCATAAAGCTCAAGAGTTTCTGCAGCACAGAATTCTCAATAAAATGCCACCTTCGTTCAGGCGAATTATTGAAAATGTGGAAGTGATCACAAGGCCTAAGGTATGTTGTTTCATGGTGCAAGTTGGACTGTATGCAAATGAAACCAGCATTGATTATTTCTAATTGTAATGTTGTATGTGGACAGATCAAATTCAGGGGGCATGGGCTTATATCTGGGGAGTTCTTGAGGGCGTGGGGCAAGTGGAAGAGCTACTTTCAGCAGGTCATAGATGTGGTAGAAGGAGCTCTGGCCTAGGGGGCCTGGATTCCTGCTTCTCTTCCCCGCCGTGCCCCCCACACTAGCATGCCTGACTTCCACCTTTCTTAAAGGACCAGGTGGGGCAAGGGGAAGACTGACTGCTCTCTCTCGCCCTGCCAGCCAGAAGAGCTCCATTTTAGTCTTTCTTTTATATCAAGGATCCCTGGACCAGATGATTTTTAAAGATCTTATGGCTTGAACTATCTTGAAAAGAAAGATAAGCCCAGGAATTTAGAAATAGATTGTGTCTGTATTTCATTAAATCTCACAGTTCCTGGAAATGTTATTTCTTTTTAATCCTGAGGGAAGGATTTTGAGGATATATTTATTCTGCTCAAACTTTAAATTACTTCTTTATATATGTTCCTGCCTACAGGACCTTGACTATTTGTGGAATAGTAGTGAATAATAGCATCTTCAGTAATAAAAATTTAAAAGTTTTCTTGTCAGTTGAAACAGAAGGATGTCTGTAGCTATGAGTCCTGCTATCTTTAATGCAGTTTGAAAACTTGGCCTCCTAGGTATTGGCTCAGGAGGGGTTTTTCCAGTGTTCAAATTCAAGTACATGATTAAGTATAATATATGTCTTGTCTGCTTAGGCTGAAATACCTTTATCACCTTTCTAGGACATGGATCCCAGGCTGATTGCATGGAAAGGAGGGGCAGTGTTGGCTTGTTTGGATACAACACAGGAACTGTGGATTTATCAGCGAGAGTGGCAGCGCTTTGGTGTCCGCATGTTACGAGAGCGGGCTGCTTTTGTATGGTGAAATGGGGAGGAAAAGTCACTGCTGAAGACCAGAAACAAGCCTCTTGGTATAAAATACTCTTACAGAATATATATATTTTAATTTATCAATCTAGATGCTTAAGTTTCATGGAAAGTAAATGAATTTCAAATTCATGTTAAGGACATGACATTGGTATGAAATTATAAGCTGCTTTTGTAGTCAGGACATTTGGGAATAAATATGAACTTACTTTTCAGTTGTAAACTCTCCTGCCCCTTTCTCAGGGCCTAATGAACATCCCAGTAATGTAAGATGTTGGTGTTGAATGTTCTCACACGGCGGAGCCCTTCATTTAAGTTGTCTTCTGAGTGTCATCAGCAGGCAGACTCATGCAACCACGAGACGTAGCCTCTGACTTGTGAGAACTCTCTGGTCATGCCATTTTCCCCTTTGTATAGCAGTTAGAATCTAAAGTTGTCTGAGTTACATGCACCTATAATGTGACTCATGTGTCCTCTTGGAATCCCAAATAGGAAAAAGAAAAGTTTGGGGGCTTTTGTTTTTCTGTTGGATTACGAAAAAGAATGGGACCCACTCAAGTCTAGATTTCTAGAGGTAAAGATTTAAGGTTGGGCTGACTGGGTGAGCTGAGAAGAAAAAACCCAATTATTTGGCCAAAACAGAACAAAATCTGAAAATCTTGTTTTCTTCCTAAAGCCAAATAGAAATGATGTAGGTATCATTTAGAGTTGTTAGCTTGTGTTGTACAGATAAACAAGGTGACTGCTGTAATTACTGCTGATTTAATCATCAGGCCCCCAATTTTTCTTTGCCTGAAGAACCAGATGAAAGCTTTTGGAGTTCATTATGTTCAGTAAGATCAGCTGACCTTAACCTGTAAGCATCCTGCTAAAATGTAGTACAGGTAGTTATTACTGCGGGTGCCCAGGCCCTGGTGAGGAAGGGGAAGAGAAGGCATTATCCAGAGACAGGAGCCGGTCAGTGAGCACAGCCCAGGAGCTCAGAGACCTGGGAGGACCAGAGGATGCTGATTCCTGCCACTTGCCACCAGGCATCTGTTTCTACCATCCCGCTTACCAGGACTGGAGATGGGCGAGACTGGGGCAAAGACAAGAGCAGGGACAGAGAAGAGATGGAAGTAAGAATGGAATATAGGAAAAAGTCTTTGGATGTGGAGACATGCTGGTACTGGAGCATTTTGTGTGAATAGGAGTACCTTCTGTAACTGCTGAGTAGGTCAGAAACAAGTGAGAGTCCACCAGTTTAACAAAATAATATTAACTTGCTAATACTATTTGGGATATGTGGCTTCAATTTAAAAATTGTATGTTTTTATTTTTTAACTTTGTTAATGTAATAAATTTAGATTATTGATTTTTATTTATATTCCTGGGCTATTTCAACACAATTTAGTGTTGGCTACCTATTTTCAAAAGCATAGTAATGTATTTCTGTTTATAATAGTTTTTCACCTAACAGCATATTGCTCTTATAACTGGTAGATGTTGATTCAAAGGAAGTTGGTTTCTGGTCAAAGTTTTGACCTAAGCCACGTCCATCTTCTGTTATCAGCACTTACAAGTGCTGTGAAAGCTGATCATAACAAATAATAGAGTTTTACCACATTAAATAATGCCTTAGCCGTTATTAAGTATCTGCTTGTGAAACTGGACATGCTGAGTTTGCACTTCATGCTTGTTTGGGGTTTTATTTTAACAGTCATCCATCTGAAACTGATCCACATTCCAGAACAGATTCAGTAGTGTGCTGTGAAATAAGCATTCCCAGAAAGATACATATGCAAATACTAATATAATGTGCCCTCTGCATTAAGAAAAAGATCCTTTTAGAAAAATTAAAAATTGAGAAGACTTTTTTTAAAAAGCACATATCTCTATGTTCTGTAATTCTGTGGTGATTTGTTTTTTATTTAAGTAAACCATTATAATAACTCATTTATGAAAGACTTCAAGAGGGCTAAATTAAGAATTATTTATATTTTGAACATGAGAAATTACATAATAACCAAGAAACTCTGATAGTTAATAGGTAACTGTGGGCAAAAGTAGATAGCAGGTTTACAGGTAATATATTTTGGTGTTCATGTTAAAAGTCACTTGTACAAGAGAGAGGACGTGAATCTAGTTTGGAGAGGGAAGGTCTTGTGGAAATACCAGATAATACAAGTGGTTTACACATATACTAGATCATCTGGTCAGTAAAGATGGGTTCAGCTTGTTTATTCCCTACTTTTGTTACCTTAAAAATAAAGATTTTTTTTACATGTAATAGATTTTTCACTTAAGCTGCTGAGTGAATTAGTGAGGGCTTCTTAAATTTAGTATTCATTAATTAAACTTAGAATATTACAAAGCTAAACAGTACTGCAGTGCAATGCATGTACTAGCAAGACTGGATGTTTGGTTGGAAGATGCTTTATTGTTGCATTTTCAGAATGGTCATAGTTTTCAATTATAACTATTTTTGATTTGTAGGTATAAAAATGATTTAGCTTTGTAATTATAAATGTAGTTTAAATGCTTAATGCTACAGTAGTTGGCAATATTTGTATCAAGAACTTTATTGGCATAAAATGTTTTAACTAGTAGACTACTTGCAGGCTGTAGAGTGTACTTCAGGATTATCACAAATTCTTTTTTTGTGATGATCCTGAAGGAAGGCTTCAAGGTCTCTTTGCTTCTCATGGGTGAGCTACCAGGAAAAGCAGCCATTGTGGCAGGCCTGTGACCTTTTCCCCACTGACACATGCTGCTTGACACGGAGAAGTTCTGAGCAGAAAGTGGTGGCATCCTTCATGAGGTGGTACTGGGGGCAGACACTGAGAGCACTGTAATCGTCTGTGGTATCAGCCTCTCTAAAGTAGACCACCATGTATTTGTGCAGATGAGTGTGGCTTCTTAGATCACTGCAGAAAAGGTTAAAGGCGAGGGGGAACAGGTCTTGAGAGTTCTCATGGAGGCTGCCCTCACTCTTGCCACAGGTACTGTCACACGCGGTGTTGATGTCATTGGAAAGAAGGAAGATTACTTTATCTGCCGCTTGCTTCTGAGTGGTAAGCCACTGCACTGGACCCATCTCTGCTATCTTCTTTTTCTGCCACTTTTCAAGGATGACCTCACTTCTGCAATGGTTTTGAAGAAATTCAGTGAAGTAACAAACTGTGTGATGGAAACATATTTCAGATGGGTAAACCACAAGAACCTTAATGGTGGGCAGTAACATGGTAGCAGAAAAGGAAGTGGTCTTGATCCTTTCTGTAGAGGGAAGAAAAGCATTGGTTATTGGTGAACAACAAACAGCAAGCTTCTGCTCTCTGTAAACCATCACTGACAATTGTTCCCTTGCTAGAGAATGTCAGCTGAGCACCAGGCATCTTGTTACTACCTAACAGGAAAAACGTCCCTGATGTTCCTTTTGAACATATCACCTGAAACACACTGATCCTTAACACATTGACTGCCACAAAAAAAATTTTTTCCTTGGGGCCATGGTGTTTTACTACGAAAATAGAATAAAAACTTCTAAAACAAAATGATCCTTTCTAATTTAATGAAAAATTTGTTATTTTTTATTGTTTCCTGTGCGTGAGTTATATGCAACTTGAAAAATAGTTCACACCACTCCGAAGGTGAAGAGACCTGTGAGTTACATATGCTTCACAGGGCCCCGGGCTCAAAACTGGCATGATTTAAATACAACTCACATGGCAGTTAATGTGTTAAACCGTAAATATCAGTCTTCTTGTTCAAGCCTTATCTTTTCAAATAAATTCATAGAAACTGTTTAGGTTTAAGGTACTTTGTTTAAGGTGGGTAGTTATAAATTCAGTATTTTTAATGCTCTGTGTAAACATGGACACCTGACCTCTGCACTTCATATCACACTTGGAGTTAACTCAGTAGTTGTTTGTACCATCTTCTACCTGTAGGTGGTAGAGTTTCTTTATAGTTCCATAAAGTTAAGTGGTACCCCATTTCAGCCCCCGAAACTTAACTAGAATTCTGTCCTATACAGTGTTAAAAAATAGGTCAGACAACATTCCCTAAATATAAGTATTCTTTTGAGGTAAAAATGCCATATAGCTTTCTTAGCTTAGAAAGAACATGGAGTTAATCTTATTCTATCTGCATTGTCACAAGTGACTGAAAGTGCATTTATATTTCCTTTTCTACATCTAGAGAAAAGGAGCAGAAGTTTTTAATGGGTCTGCTTCTAGCTGTCTATCTATATACATACTGACTTCTGTATGCAAATACTTAATGTTTCAGAGTTGACAAAGACCTTAGAGAGTACAGGTGATGCTTGAGCAATGCAGGGGTCAGAAGTGCCAGCCCCCCATGCAGTTGAAAATCCACATGTAACTTCTGGCTCCCCCAAAACTTTACTACTACTAATAGCCTACTGTTGACTTACCAGTAACATACACAGTTGATTAACACATGCTTTATATATCATATATATTATATGCTGTGTTCTTATGATAAAGCTAGAGAAAAATGCTATTAAAATCATGAGGAGAAAATACATTTGCTATTAAGTGGAAATGGAGCATCATAAAGGTCTTCATCCTCCTGTTGAGTAGGCTGAGTAGGAGGAGGCAGACGAGGGGTTGGTCTTGCTGTCTCGGGTGGCAGAGGCAGAAGAGGCGGAGGAGGTGGAAGGGGAGGCAGGAGAGGCAGGCGCACTTGGGAACTTTATGGAAATGCATCATAATTTCTGACCTTTTTGCTTTTCCGTTTCTCTAGAAATGTTTCTATGTGGTATCGATCCTCCTACCGTTTGTTGTAGTCTCAGTGCCTGTATCATAGAAGGGTCCATGTTGTAAAAGAAGTCAAAAGCAGTCTTGAAGAGTTGGAACCCTTCTGCCAGACTGTCTAACGTCAGTTTGTTTTCTCACTGTTTCCTCTGCATCTTCTTTCTTACTGTCTGGCACTGGTTCAGAAGCACTCATCTCCGTCAGGTCCTCTTCTGTTACTTCCTCTGGTGTGGTGTCTGTTAGCTCTTAAATTTCTCCAACATCCATATCTCGAAATCCTTCATTTCCCTGCCCCCACCTTTTTTGCCATATCCACAAGCCCTTTCATGATTCCCTTGATTGACTCTGTCATAAATCCTATAAAGTCATGCATAACATCTGGACAGAGTTTTCTTCAGCAGAAATTTATTGTTTCTGGCCTGATGGCTTTGACAGCTTTTAGTGTAACAACAGTGGGATCTTTAAGGGTGTAATCCTTGTAGACCTTCATGATGTTCTCTCGAGCAGGGCTCTCTGCCATAGTGTTGACAATCCTTTCCATAGAGTACTGTGTGTAGTGAGCCTTAAAGGTCCTTATGACCCCCTGATCTAGAGGCTGAATTAGAAAAGCTGTGTTTGCAGGCAAGTAGACCACCTTAATGCTTTTGGTATTTAACTCATGGGGTTCTGGGTGGCCAGGGGCATTTTACAATATCTGAAGAACTTTAAAAGGCAGTCCTTTACTGGCCAGGTACTTCCTGACTTCAGGGACAAAGCACTGATGGAACCAACCTAGAAAAAGCGTTTTCATCATCCAGGCCTTGTTGTACAACCAGAAGACTGGCAGTTGCTGTTTATCTTTTCCCTTCAAGGCTTGGGGTTAGCAGCTTTATAGATAAAGGCAGTCCTGATCACAAACCCGACTGCAATTGTGCAAAACAGTAGAGTTAGTCTCTTCCTTCCTGCCTTAAATCCTGGTGCTCACTTCTCTTCCTTACTAATAAATGTCCTTTGTAGCATAATTTTTTTTTTTTTTT